CGTTTAGCCTGGAAGCTCTAGGGAAACAGGGACTGTGCCTGTCACAGCCCTGTGTTGTGGGCACTAAATGGCTGCTGCACATTGTTGAGGGAAGCAGAGGCCCTCACTTGTCCCACTGTCACACACAGCTCTTCAGAGGAGAAATGATGCAGAAGGGTACACAGAGAACATGAAAGTCCTACCAATATTCTCCATTTAAATCAAGTGGAGTTATATTTAGCCTTTTGAAGGAGGCCCTGCAGTTAATGATTTACCATTTAGTCAAGGCTCCCCTTCTCTGCACTTTTGGTCCTGGCCCAGAACTTTCCCCTAACTACTGACCTAAGTCCTCTTCAGGAAATATAATTTCTCTCCCTAAATAGGACAGCATGGTTGGGGCCCAACAAGGAAAAGTTCTACAAGGAAAAAGAACATTCACAACCTTCTGTCTAGACCAACGAATCTCCCATCTAGAGAGAAATGCAAAAGCATCTGAGCCTAAAGAAAAACACTTTTTCCTTTGCCCCCTCAAGCTGTGGGCAATTCTCTTGGACTCACTAAAGGTATCTTCTACTTCCAAGGCCATGGGTCCTTGTGGACCACTTGGAAGCTAAGAGGCAGCCTTCTAGCCTCAGTCAGCTTAACTGCTCTGTGTGTGGAAATTGGAGAGACTGGCTGGGTTGACAATGGGGCAGGGAAAGAACAAGAGACAATAAAATGAGGAGGATGAAACATTAAAGTGAGAAAAGTAGCAAGCAAATAAGAAGGATTTCACTGGTGCCAAATGGTCCGATTTCCCCAATCCAAGGCATCATGGCTTCCTCTGAGCTAGGGCCTCTTACCTTTTTTAGACAGTCATCCCGATGGAAATCTTAAGTGTGTCCTCTCACACATCTCCACCCCTTCCTGTTTCCCCAAAGCTGGTCACCTTTTGGCTCCGGCTTTGTTTCTGGATGCTGCCAAATACTACAGCAGCCAACATTTCTAGATCTTCCTAAATCTAACCAACTCGTGTCTGTGGGGGCAACTCCTCCTGCTCCAACTACAAAGTGCATACTTGGGGACACAGGATCAGTATGAGCATCAGGTCACAACTACACATTCTATTAGGCAATGAACTGCAATACAAACTGTTAAATTTTCAGTGCTTCTGAGAGTCTCTGTATGGCCAAAAACCATTAAGAATGAGAGCAAGAAAACATAAACGAGGGCTGGGGAGATAGCTCAGTAGAATAAGTGCTTGCTTGGCAAGTTCAAGGTCATGAGTTCAATCCCCACTACCACCAAAAAAAAGAAAGAAAGAAAGAAAAGAAAAGAAAAGAAAAGAAAAGAAAAGAAAAGAAAAGAAAAGAAAAGATGAACGATATCATGGCTTTCCACCTAGCAGTAAGAGTTCAGACAAGTAATTTAAACCCATTAGCCTGGATAAGAAAAATTAAGAATTAAGACCACTTGCAGGGCTGGGGAGATAGCTCGGCAGTCTAAGCACCTGCCTGGAACATGCAAGGTCCTGAGTTCAATCCCCAATACCACATGCTATGCCAGCCCCGGAACCCTGGGCATGGCGGTGCATGCCTCTAACTCCAGTGCTTGGAGAAGCTGAGACAGGAGAATCAGTATAAGTCAGAGCTTCGTCACAAGACCGTTATCAAATATTTTTTTTAAAAAAAGATCACTTGAAGGGGCCGGGGGATGGCTCAGTGGAATAAGCGCTTCCCTGGCAAGCGCAAGGGCCTGAGTTCAATCCCTGGTTCTGCAAAAAAATAAATAAATACAGACCACTTGTACTTAGAATTGTGTAAATACACACTAATAAAATCATGTTAGAGCGCCTGCTTAGGCACAGTACAGCCGCCAGGGTTTGATCCCCAGCATGCCATGCCAGCCCCACCCCTGGGGGCATGCTGAGACTGCAATTGAGACTGTGCGTGGTGGCACAGGCCTATAATCCCAGCGCTTGGGAGGCTAAAAACAGGAGGATCACTACGAATTGTCTTCTTCTCCCATGTGTTTATTCCTTTCACACATGAGGAGTCACTGTTGGACTTGGGGGTTTAAAATTACTAGAGGAAAGGTATCCAAAGACACCTTGCCCTTCCAGCTCCCGGGTGAGCACTTTGATAAATCTTACCAGGAAACAAATGAAGACACAGATTTGTGACCTCAGGAAAATGGCAGTGGGCAGCCGCCGACAATGGTGGAGCCTCGGGTCTAGAGTAGGAGAGGGCCTGCCACCAAAAGTGGTGGCATCGTTAGGTGGGACCAAAACCAAGACTGGGAAGGAATCCAATAATACACTGACTGTCACGTTTAACATCCAATGCTGAAAGAAAGTAGAGCATATTTTGGCCTCTGAGAGGAAAGTTCTCTGGGAATCATAAAGAGTCACAGCTATAGGAAAGGATTTAGAAAATTGGAAAATTGGAGGCAAGTCTGAATTGTCTTCCTAGGTGCTCCCCAGGTTTTAGCTTAGCTGAACACCTGAGTGCCACCATGTGAGAGAAACAACTGACCAGAACAATGAAAGAGGAGAAAAAGAAAAATCCTGTTTAAATCCTGCTTGTAAACCACTACAGAATCTCAGGAATACTTCTTTAAGGTCAATATTACTATGAAAGTTAGCAAATAAAAAAAGAAATTTAGCAAGGCATGGTGGTACACACCTATAATCCCAGTTTGGGAGGCTGAGGCAGGAAGATCGCCATGAGCTTGAGACCAGCCAAGGCTACATGGTCAGTTCAAGGCCAGCCTGAATTACAGAGCCACTGTCTCCAAAAGAGGAAAAAGAGAAAAAGTTTAGCTGGCAAGAACTAGCCAGTGCCCAAAGGCAGTCATTAGACACTAGCTGCACGGCAGAGACTAAGTCACATGACAACAGTTAAGCACTGCCCTCTGAGCCAGGTCTCTTCGAGATCGGATGAGCAGAGGCAACAGGAGCTGCAAGATGCTCACCAGAAGGCTAATGCACTCCACAGGCACCCATATTCTGGCAAACAGCTCCACACACATGTGCTATTTTAATTGGAGACAACTAATTTATCAAACACCTATTTTAGAGCCAGCAAGATAGCTCAGCAGGGGCCAGGGAGATGGCTCAGTGGAATAAGCGCTTCCCTGGCAAGCGCAAGCACCTGAGTTCAATCCCTGGTTCCACAAAAAAAAAAAAAAAAAAAAAAAAAAAAAAAAAAAAAAAAAAAGATAGCTCAGCAGACTAAGTGTTTGCTTAGGCAGTGGGTTCAATCTCCAGCACTGCATGCTGTGCTGGCCCCACCTCCAGGAGTGCTGAGCCACAGAGATAGGGTGTGGTGGTGCATCCCTATAATCCTAGCGCTGGGGAGGCTAAAAACAGGAGGATCACTTAGAGTTCCAGCTAAGTAGTGAGACCCTGTAGCAAATACATAAAAAAACAACAACCCCCCCCACCACCTATTTTAAGTTTAGATATACACTATGTTAGTTAATCCCAATAACTTTATGGGCTAGGTACTCTAACATTTTTTTTTTTAAAAAAAAAAAAAAAGGACTCAAGCCTGCGTACACCATTCAGCACTATTCTGGTAATACTCAGTACAACTAATATCTCAAAGCCTGTGAGATAAGAAACTAAATTACAAAAATAAAAAGAACATGTAGTGAAACCCCCTTGAGTTACAAAAACAAGACACAGAAATATGCACCTATCTTTGCAAAAATCTCTTTCACTTTTTATGATAAAGAGTTTAGATTCAGGGTAGCATATAGTTCAGTGAGAGCACCTGCCTAGCATGCATGCAGAAGCTATGGGACTGACGGCCAGCACTGCGCATGTGTACACACACACACACACACACACACACACACACACGCATGTCTAGAATCCATGTCATTAGCTTACAAATAGCACTGGCTAGGGGTCAAAGCCTCTTAGAACTGGTAAGAAGTATGACAACAATCTTTGAGGAAGGCTTAGAACTAGGAGACCAGGAGACATCAAGGTGTCTAAGGACAAGATCTTTCCTCTCCCTCCTGCTTCCAACAGCCTGGTATACTTGGTCAAGACAGAATTTGCTACAAACATGCTACAAGCAGGCCTGAGTGAGAAACCAAGTTTCCTTTTGTTCTTTCTGCATTTTGATGAGGTCAAATTTCAGAACAATATGGAGTTCTGGGCATTAGGGCTGAGCCAGGCATGCATGAACTGAGATTTTCTCATTCTCCTTTAAGTATAGATTAAGAAGAACTAAATTACAAAAGTATATCAGGGAAAAAAAACATGATTAAGATGTAACACATGTACACACCAATTCTCTAAAACGATTATAATTAGTATATATTACAAACATATATCAATCAAAAAGTATATCAGACAAGGTTGAAAAAACTACCTAGACAGAATTCTCTCACAGCAAACAGTCAGTGACCTGGTAGATATAACTATGTTCTTTCTTAGAGTTACCACCCCATTTCTAAATATTTACTATTATGTAGAAAATGAGGACCAATGAAAAAGTCAAATGGGTTGATAGATTGTTTACATTTTGGTAGATTTTCAAATCCCCATTATATTCCTTAGTGAGAGGAAGAATTATGTTTAACTCTCTCTTTCTTTTTTTCTTTTTTGCAGTACCAGGGATTGAACTCAGGACCCTGCACTTGCCAGGCAAGTGCTTATTCTACTTAACTATCTCCTCGTGTTTAACTCTCTTGAAAGCAAAGCCTGATATAGAAAAGAGGCTCGCTAATTATTTTCTGATAAAAGCATTTATATATAAACATTTATAAGTAAATATCCTGCCCTCTGTATAATGCTACAGGGAGGAGAAAGAATGATCTTCTGGGATACCAGTCCCTAATCATTGTCTTTGGAGAGAAATGGCTCTCTGTGGCCTCACCGCCTTACAGTGTTTTTAGATACACTTTCCTCATCAGATAAAAATCTCCCAGTTTGCACTCTAGCAAAGTACCTTCCTAGAAGACAGAACACAGTACTTTGAAACACTAGCTGCCTTTCTTCAATTTCTCTACCCTGAAGTGGTCTTTACCTTCCACAGGGGAGGTTTTCAGTCTACTGCAGATATTCTGTACCCCGCCATAGTGGACATTGATCTGGGTCAATCCATCAGCGGCACGCAGTTCCATGAGTTTCCTCAACTCCATTAATGTGAAGCCATAGTCCCCATCGAGGCTCTCAGGTGTAGAGTTGGCGGGCAAAGAATGTCCTGTCGGGTTCGTCATGTTGCCTGTGGTCCCCAGCCCCTCAACCAGAGAAGATGAGGCGTCTCCCCTCAACTGACCAATGTCTCTTGTTTTCTGGTCCCCGCCTTTTCCTGCTTCTTGCTTCTCTGAGGGCCCAGTTAAAAAACAGTGACAATAACTTGTCAGGGTCGCAACGCCAGCCTTGAGCCTTTCTTCTGTACAAGGCCTGTCAGTGAGAAGAGGAAGAAGATGGGGGAACCAAGTAGAAGACGGACTTCGTGTCACGAGGTTTGGTGTCCCCTGGGTGGTGATGGAAACGGTTGTCCAAGACAGGTAGGTTCCTAGCTTAGGCTCACTTGTCCAGATGGAGGTATAAACAGGGTGCGCATGTTACAGGGAAACGACCTTGACCTTAGTGACAACTAGCAACTGTGGTGGTAGATCAGCAGCAGGAGGAGGAAGAGGAGGACTCCTTAGATATCGATGACAGCTGGATCTCTGGAATAAAGATTCAAAGATAGACAAAAATAAACAAAGTGGCCATGAAGATCCTGGAACTGCAAAGACAAAAGGTACTCCCATTCTAGCACAAGAGTTTAGGTGACAGTTGATGTCTCAGTTTAACTGACAGCTGAGTGAACTGACTCATGAGACGCCCTTTCTTCCTGGGAGGCCCTGGGAAGCCTGTACATTGCAGTATAGAGAAGTTATTTCAGTTACACCCAGTATTCTGGTCTCACTTCTCCCAAACCAACCCACACAAACCTCACAACTTTAGGAACTTGGAAGTAAAGGGTTATAACCTCTAACAGTTCTACTATGCGTTCTCTCTCTCTGTCTCTCTCTCTGTCTCTCTCTCTGTCTCTCTCTCTGTCTCTCTCTCTGTCTCTCTCTCTGTCTCTCTCTCTGTCTCTGGAGTATTTGAGGAAGAATCCTTTAGTCTGACTTTACCTGCAAAAGGTGAGAAGAGGCAGAAAAAGAAGTCAAGATCCAAGTGGTCTGGAAGGTGGCCTACCGGCCACTCTCTCCCACATTCCACATGTGTCCCTACTTCCACTGCAGACATTTACACACCAGGAAGACACTGTGATCAAAGATGCCCAAATCCTTCCTCCCCTAGAACTTTTAGCCTTGAGCTGTATAAAAATTCAGCAGGATGTGGCAGCTGTTAACCAATCGGGCAGCAAACTTTAGTCCTAAGGCACTCCCCCCACCCCCAGGCTTTGAAAAGAGAGAATAAAGTCCTCTGGTAGTTTATCAAACGGTACGGAATCATTTGTTATGAAGGGAGCAAAAGAACCTCTGAGGAGGAAAGATAGTGACTCTGAAGTGTAGGAGTGTGAGCACTTCTCAATGTGGGAGGGATAAGACGGCTATCAGTTCAGCTAGAGCAGGGGCCCCAGCAAGTCATTAGGAGAGACAAGTTAGTCCACATGTGAGGGACACCAGGGTTTCACTTTAGCACAGTGGCTGCCTCAGAGGGGGTGAACATTTCCTCCTCAGCCAAATGTCACCTGTCATATTGGCTGGGGAAGGTGGGGGGCAGGTGTGTGTGAGGATATGGAGGCTGAAAGTGGGAATAAGTCTGACCCTGCTTCTGACGGGCTGGCTACATGTTACATGGGAGCTACTGCCATGAAAAGGGACTCTGCGCCATCCCAAAGTGAAGGGGCTCTACCTGAGCACAATATTGGGAGTCTGTGGGGCCTAGTTCTGGTTCAACAGCTCCCACTGACTAGACTTGAGTTTAGTTACCAGATGGTGGCAAGGAACTCTGGTCAGACTGTTTAATTAGCAGACTGCTAATCTTGCTTCCAGAAAGTGAACAAAGAGGCAAGGGATTCTTCAGATAAGGACTTGATTCTCTTATGAATTACTTTCACCAAAATCCTATGTAGACAAAGTGTGCAGATTTCAACTAGTACTACTCCCTGATTAGATTGATCTTTTGGGGATGATGATTGTTATCCCCCTTCCTCTCCCAAGGTGACCCTGTCACCCCTCCTATGATAGATGTCTAACACTCCCCTGACTTACAAAAAATTAAGCAAGGAGGGTTGCATCTGTTTGTTTGTTTTTGAATATCCCTGGGGAACAGATATGTAAAGAACCTGAGGCATTGAGTCAAACCCCACTTAGATTGGCATATGAATGGTGGTATAGTTGTCTCTCCTGACCAACAAGCAGGTGGAAAAAACAGAAGACAATAAAGCATTTTTTGAGAGAGAAAGGGAGAGATCATATTCACGTAACTTCCATTACAGAATGTTGCTATAACCATTGTTTTTTTTTTTTTGTTGTTGTTGTTGTTGTTTTACAGTGCAAGGGATTGAACTTGGGACCTTATGCTTGCCAGGTATGCCACTGAACTATCTCCCCAGCCCTAATCATTCTATTTTATTGTTAGTTATTGTTGTTAATTCCTTACTGTGCCTGCTATATAACTTAAACTTTACCATAGTTGTGTGTGTTTAGGAAAACAGCCTCTACAGGGTTCTGTACTACCCAGATACATCTCTCAGTGTGTCACTGTGGATCAGGGTGAACTACCGTACCAAGGATTTTCTCTTCAGTTTAGCTCTTCCTCCAAGCCTGGAAGGAGTGGAAGAGGCTATGGCAGTGAGCTATCATCTTGGCCCTTAAACAGAACTCCCTTGGCTTGCGAGAATCCTCTTTAATGGATGGTGGGGACCATGCTGACAGAGTGATACTAGGAATTAGAAGATGTTGCCTTTGTGGCCCTCACTACATTGCTTGCAACATGAAGACAGGGAGTTTTACCTGTCTCATTCATTCCTTTCTCCCAGTGCCCAGAACAGAACCTACCCACGGTGGGCATTCATTTGATATTTGTGGTGGCTGTTGAATGACTAGTAGCAGACCCAGAACCAGAAAGACCATCTTCCCACTCATCCTTTAGGTGTATCACTTAGCATTCTTCACACTTGATCTTAGCCAAATGGCCAAGAAGCAATACTTAGCCTTAAGACCAATTCTCTTCACCTTTCATTGGGAGGACAATCACCTGTACCTTTTCACATCATCCTAAGGAAGAACTAATGGAATGATATTATAGATTTAAAAACAGTGTTGCAAAATCCTGGAAAGGTGCAGTGTCCAATCACTTGAGGGTACTCAAGTGACAGAAGAAAGCTGAATTTAATGTATTTGGTTGTTACAGGGTCTCACTGCGCAGCTCGGACTCACAGTGATCCTCCCGCTTTCAGCCTCCCCAATGCTGGGATTATAGGCCTGCACCACCACGCCTGGTCTTAGTGGCTGGCTCAGCATGCCCAGGGGTTGGGCCGGTGCAGAATGCGGTACCAAGGATCAAAGCCTGGTCCCTGCATTTGCCTAAATGGGCGCTTAGTCCACTGAGTTATCTTACTGGCCCTGAATAAGCTTTTGTTAGTTATCTAATCCTCTAAGCATAAAGGCTGTAAGATCCTTGCACCTTTCCCATCTTTCCTTGCCAGGGTTCCCCTGACCTCTCCAAAAAAAAAAAAAAAAAAAGGAAAGCTAAGGCAGCTTCCTTAACAGTAAACACTGTGCTGGGCTTGGTGGTACACAGCCTATAATCCCAGCACTCTGAAGCAGGAGGATCACAACCTTGAGCCCAGTCTCAGGAATTTAGCAACTTAATAATATCCTGTCTCAAATAATAGTAATAATAATAATGATAATTAAAGGGCTGGGAATGTAGTTCAGCAGAGGCCCTGGGTTCAATTCCTTGATACTACAAAAAACCTCTGTCATTAGCTAGGTTATGACCACTGCTAATAATTACTAGCTTATGTGGTCCTGAGTCTCTGGAAAATAAGAATCGACAGTCTTTTTCCAAATTCCTTGCTTTGAACCTCTCCTCTGGGTCCCAAAGAGGAGAGACTCTCCCACTCACATAGGCAATTAATGGATAACAACCCACAAGGTTAGAACACAGACTACAGAGCACATGTGGAAAACAGGAAGAAGGTTTGCTACTCCAGGTTGACGTACAGGCACAAGCACCCAGCCGTAAGCACTCAAAGGGCAGCACACGGTTGGAGCTAGGTTCAAAGTAAGGTCACTACCGACATCAGCAGGCATGTCAGGGTGCCCGTACTTCTCCTAAGCTCTGCAGGATATGAGCTCTTTGCAATTTGCCCAGCCCCTAACCCTGTGGAAGTGGTCACTACTGTGGCCTGCGAGGTGCTACGCTGTCAGGCCAGGGTTGGTCGTGCATGAGGTATTCTGGGTAAGATATATTTTTGCACTCTGTTTCCAGTATTTTGCCTTCCCAGGGGACAACAGGATAGAAGGCCAAACTGTCTCATTCCTTTTTCTTGAAGCAAGAAATCATACCACTTTACATGATCAACAGAAAAGAATTCTTATTTGTTTCCCTCCTCCAGCCTTCTAAACATCCATTCTAGGGGCCGAGGAGATGGCTCAGTAGAATAGCACTTCCCTGGCAAGCGCAAGGGCCTTAGTTCAATCCCTGGTTCCATAAAAATAAATAAATAAATAAATACCCATTCTATAAGATGTGAAACACTTCCATGTCCATTCTGCAACGCGGGAGCTATGATCAGCACCTCACAGGGAAGACAGCGAGGGCTAAGGAGAGAATGAGCAGAGTGCTGGAAAGTCAGGGCTTTGGGCACACTGGTGCTTTATTTTATTTTATTCTAGTTTTTGAGATAGAGTTTCACTAAGTGCCAGGCTGACCTCGAACTTCTGATCCTCCTGCCTCAACCTCCTCAGTGCTGGATTACAGTTAGGTCCCACTAGGCCCAGTTTCCACTTGTGCTTTTTGTTACACATCACTCTCTCATTTTCTGACAAACACCTTCAGGGCCTTTAAAATGCAAACATCTCTAGGATGTAGAGAACACTGATTCTTCTTGGAGAAAAGGTCTCCCTTTTCCCTTTCTTTTCCACAATAGATTAACTGACATCCAGGCAACCAGGTCAAATGGACCCCATCCTGCTTCCGCATGTTTCCACACACACTTGAGAAGTGCCAGGCTCCGTGCAGCCTGGCAGGCCAACCTGCAGCAGGCTCACCAGCAAGTTCCTGGAACAAGGAGTTGCTGCAGTCAGAGCCCTTATCCCCTAGGCCATCAAGCCAGCAGAAGAAATCTGGTGAGGCCCACGAGAAAAGCAGGCATGGAAAAGGGGAGGAGACATGGACCCCCAGACAGACCTGCCTGGACGGTAAGCTGCTCTGGGCCACATTGACCTCTAGCTGCAGGAGGGGCTGCCTGGGGGCACAGGCTTCTGTGCCCTGCCCTGCCCTGCCTTTCTCACTGGACTGAGAACCGCTCTGCTTAGGGGTGACTTGGTAGCACTTGGGGACACGCTTGTGACATCATCACTGCTGGGCAGGACACAGCGGGTGAAGAAGGGGAGCCCTTGAAGGAGGAGAGCAGTCCCGTATACAATGCACCAAAGCAAAGTCTGAAAGTGGCTGCGGGGACAACACCAGTTGCCTTTTCTCTAACCCAGAGTCTCTTCCC